CGGAAAACGAGAATTTGAATCTTTGACTTATGCAAAAAGTCGTTTATCTATTTAGTTATGCTTAGTTAAATTGATATATAAATGTCCACATAGTCAATACAATATACATTAAATAAAAATTAATTTCATGTATTAAAAAATTGTTATATATGTGTGTTTTAAAAAATTCAACGTATTTATTATTATTAATAATTAATTAATGGTTAAAATACTATTTTGATCTATATAGTTTCAGCATGAAAGGTTAGTTTTAGTCTTTATTTTTAAAAAGTTAAGTGACCATTTTGATCCCTTAATTTTATTTTCAATCTTATTTTTTTCTATCACAATTTTAACGCCACAGTAAACTCGATATATTTCTTAAAATATAACCATTACTTTATACTAAATGTTTCCATTATTTGTATAATTTGTATTAAAATTTTGCAAATAGGGACTAAAATGATCGCTTTTGAAAAATACGTATACCAAAATAAATATTTTGAAAGTACATTGACTAAAATAAACTTAAAGTTAAAAATATAGAGACAAAAACGAACATTTAAAAGTACTAGTATGAAACACGTGCGGTGCACATGAAATTTCATAATTTTATTTTAAAGTATAAAACATAAAATTAATTAAATAGTTAAAATTTTTAATATAACTAGGCTATCTCTTAATGTTTACCTCACTAAGTGTCTTTTTTTTTGTATTTTACATGTTTTTCTCATAAAATTGACATCTCAATAACTCTCATCAGCTGCTAATCCGGTTGATGTGACTACAAAAATTGAGAAGTATCGATTACTTGAAAAGTTATTTCATCATACTTAAATGCATGAATGTTTGGGACATGCAATTCATTTTTCTTTACTAAAAATGAAGAAATATAAATAAGAAAGCCGTATACGATGCCAAAGCGAGCATAGTTTAGCGGTAATTGGTAAGGGTGTTCAAAACACCCGACGAACCCAAAATCCAAACCGTAAATGTTGAGTTGGGTTGTGATTTTCCCAACCCGACCGTGTTGGATTGGGTCCGGGATCAACCTTTAAAAAATCAGATCAACTAAACCCGAATTTATGCATATATGTATATTTTTTTAATTATATATATAATATTTGTATATTCAATGTAAATTGACCATTTAGTTTTAATCACAGCCTTTTATTTAAGATTTTTCATATTATATCTTAATATCAACCGTCTATTTAATTGAATCCTATCTCTCTATCGTGGTCGTGATATTTAAAAATTAAAAATTAAAAAGAAAAACACACAATCCGAAAACCCGACCCAAAGATATTGGATTTGGTTGACCATCCAATACAAACCCGACGATTCCTATGTATATATATGCCAACCTAAAAATACGACCTGATCATATATCCCTAACAACATGCTGTAGTCAATAGGGAAAAAAAACACCGTATAAGACCAGAAAATCACGACTCTTTCGTTCCGGTTCTAATTTTAATCAAATTTGGAGGGTCCCACTTTTCACGCGCTTCTCGACATCGTGGGACCACATCGAAATATCTTTTCCATTTTTCTCCCTTCGCTTCCCTTTCTCACTTTACTAAGATCTCCATCCTCCACGCGCTATGTTTCCTCGTAATTTTCACTTGCCAAATTTCCCCTTTTATTTCCTAAATATATTTGCTTAATTAATAATAGATTTAAATGCTATTTTAGTTTTTGTTTTAAACAATAGTTTTGGTTTATTTTCCTTGAAAGTCCAAAATATTTATTTTAATTACTGAAATTTTAATTTTATATTTTTAAAACATTTATTTTTATATCTCTACCTTTAATTATTTATTTACAAAATTTTAATACAAATTTTATACGCAATTAAATTCTCTAATATAAATTATAGTTATGTTTCCAGAAATTTAGTGCTCCAATGTCTTGTTAGGATTCTAATATAAATAAATAAAATAAAAATAAAGATAAAGAGACTAAAATGGTCACTATTTAAAATACATAGATCAAAAGGAATGAAAATCGTTAATAATAATTTTTTTTTATGTTCTCTATTTTTAGAATGATTTTAATTATTTTAGTTTATTAGATTTTTCAAATATATATTTTTTCATGGATTTAAAAAGAACTATTTTAGTTATTGTCATATGATAAAAAATCATGTTATTAATTGAATCTATCTCAAAATTGAATATTCTACTTACCACAGGTAACATAAAATACTATGTGTATGCATATGTTTCGGAATTTTAGAAATCAAGCCAATCTAAACTTAATCTAAATATCCGTTTTTTTAAGTTGAAGATTTAATTCTGTATCTCACCTTTGTTATACTAAAAAACAATATAAAATAAAATGGAGATGGAAACAAAAATTTAAACCTTTTTACAACATTATTTCATATCCTCAAAATATAACTATGATGTTTGCCATAAATTATTAATAAAAATTACTATTTTTTATTTTTTTCATTCTATTTCTCATTTCCACACCCAAAACTAAAAATTAGCACTTATTTTAAATTTGATGGGTAACGAAGAAGATGGTAAGCTTAAAAATATTATTGTTAAAATAATAAATCACGGAATATAACTTTTTCAAAACCTAAATTTCTAACAATTTTATTAATTAAATTACGTGGTGATATCATCTTTCTGGAGAGGTGATGTGGCACGCTAGGTGGGCCACAGCCACAGGTGTAAGAGAATAAAAAAAATATATCTTTTTTAAATTTTATTTGAAATATAATATGAGAAGTGAAGATATAAATTTCATTTAATCGTCTCTTTTAAAATTATTCAGGTGGGGAGTGAGAGTCCTCTCTCTTAATAGGAAATAAAAGTTTGACTTGTAAAGATTTTGGTCATGGAAACTTCCTAGATGACAGGTGTAAAGGGCATAAAAAGAAGGTCCAAATGCATCTTTAGTAACAAAATTTGTTCAATAATTTTCATCCCACCAATTTTCTTTCTGCCTCCATAACTAATGACTATATACATTTTACTTCTGTCTTTTATAACTCTAAATATAACTTTTTAGATTTACAAGTTATTTTGGTCTCTTTATTTAATATTTTAGTTTATTTTGATTTATGTATTTTGAATATTTATTTATTTTGGTCTCGGTACTTCTAAAACGTTCATTTTTGTCCCTGTATTTTAAAATGTGGACTTTTTGATTTCGTAATTTTGATTTTTGTCTTTTTTTATTGTAATTTTAACATGACACTTCACTCACTAAATTACTTGAAAGGTAGCGATAATTTATATTAAAGGATTTTCATATTGTGTATAAAATGTGTGTTAAAATTTTGCAAATAGGGACAAAATTAGTGATCACTCCTTAAAAGTATGGGGTGAAAATTGAAAATTCAACAAAAGTTGAAATTATAAGGGTGTGTTTGGGAGCGATAGTAGAATGAGTTATTTTGGGGAAAAAATTAACTATAATTTATTTTCTCAAAATCACCCTAGTGATAACTTAAAAATCAATTTAAAATAATCTTAAATTTTTCTAAAATCAATTTTTTAATTTGCCAAACATGATCGATAGAAAGGAAAATGATTTTGACCATAGGAAAAGTGATTTTACCCGCGTCAAAATCAAATCCCAAACCATCAAAATTAACCAAAGCTAAAAAAAATACATGGACCAAAATATACTTAAACCTACCTATTAATTGTATTTTCTATGGCAATTTATGTTTCTTCAAATATTTCAATTTTATTTTTTATTAAAGTGTTTATGTTAGAATCACTATCATAAAATGTTGGAGAACTTTTTAGACATTGATTCAGAAATTTTCAATTGTCATTTAAATTCCCCAGGTTTCCTTTTCACTCCTGAGTTTTTTCCCCTTAATATGTATATGTTTTTATCATTCTAAAATTAATAACTAAAGAAATCTCTTTCATTATATTGAAATGAAGATAGAGAGGGTAACTCACCCATGTAAATTGATCAAAGGATAAAAGAAACGGAAAGACGATGATACGCTTGTCATCTAAGATTGTGACCTAATCAATCAGTCAAAGTCTTTTGTCAGAGAAAATTAACATTAAACACATTATACCTAATTTACAAACTTATTATTTTTTAGACAACACGATTTATGGATAAAATACTATAAAGTGAAATGAAGTTGCTCATGTCGATACAACTGAGATCTATTAAAGTCTTGAGTGTTCATGATTGAACACAAAAAGTAGTCTTGAGTGCTCGTGCTTGAACACAAGAAATAGTCTATCAAACTACTCATATCTTGCATTGTGTGATCGTAATCCATCTAGACCTACTATCAGAGAGCAAAGTAATTCCTAAATGGATGAAAGAAATTCAATTGAGTCAATACTATACAATAAAACAAAACATATCGATTATATTACTGCTGTTATACAAAAGAGAAACGACAAAGCAAAAGACCAAGAGAGGACCAAAGAAGTCACTAGAAGGACCGGACAAAGCTGAGCACAGCTCGGCCCATTGCCAAGCCCGGTAATCGCCCTCTTCTGATCTCCACGCACCTTGGGCCTTGCAGCGACGAACTAGGGCTCATTTAGAAGGGTCTAGAACATTCTGAGCGACTATAAATAGGCCATGTAGCCTAACCCTAAGGTAAACCAAATTCTACACTTGAATTCCATTATTACTTAGGCATCAGAGCCCGTGTGACAAAAGTCACATCGGTCTAAGCCTTCTTCGGTTTTGCAGGTCTTCGATTACCTGATAATCAAGTTTGGTGCGAACCTCGGAAGGAACCGGGAGAACATAATCCACACATCAACAATTGGCGTAGTCTGTGGGAACGAGAAAAAAGTCGTACAGTTGAACAGCACGACGCCGGATGCAAGGAGGAAGTTAAACTTGGATGACCCCCAGCTAGGAGGACCCGAGGGCGATACGGGTCGACAAAACCCGGAGCGCCAAGAAGGGCCGCCTGAGGTGGCTACAATTACAGCCCTTGAACAGCTCCAAAATCAGTTCGCAGTCTTGGAAGAAAAGGTAGAGGGCATGTTTCAGCGCATGACCCAACTATGTCAACAACTAGAACAGAGGCCGGCGAGGTACCCCTCTTCAGAGGCCCCCGAAAGGGAAAAGGCCCAATAGAGAGTGAGTCTGAAGAATCAACGAACAGTGTAGGGAGCAGGCTGAGGTTAGAAGAAAACATCAAACGACGAACTCAAAATTTCGATTCTCGAGGCCAGCAAAAGGATAAAAAGCAACAGAAATCCCCGGTACCGGATGGGGGCAAAAGCAACCATGATAAACAAAACGCTGAGCCCATAGACCTCGACAAAGACAAATCGACAGATCGGCCCGAGTTGTCAGAAAGGCAACAAAGTAAAAAAGAGAAGGGGTTCGATCTCGAAGAGTTACTGGATCAAGCCGACTCGCCATTTATAGAAGAAATCATGGGGGAGAAGGTCCCTCCAAAATTCAAGCTACCAACGGTGAAACAATTCGACAGGTCAGCCAACCTAGTAGACCACCTTGACGCCTACCGAGAGTAGATGGATATTTACGGGGTGTCAGAGGCGATCAAATGTCGGGTGTTCTCGACAACTTTGAGTGGGTCGGCCAGAGTATGGTTTCGACAGTTGAAGCGAGGTTCAATCTCGAGCTTCAAGAGCCTGGCTAGGGCATTTGTGACTCAGTTTGTGGGAGGACGAAGCCGAAGCCGACCCGTGACTTATCTTCTGACCATCAAACAGAGAACAACAGAGAGCCTTCACGACTATGTGGCTCTATTTAATGAAGAGAAATTATAGGTTGAGGGACGGATGTAGTGTCTCTATTAGCTTTCATGTTCGACATCAAGGAAAAAGACGCCGAACACCTTCACAGAGGCGTTGAGTCGAGCTTAGAAATATATGAGCGCTGGAGAGTTTTTCCACTCAAAGAAAGAGCCAGAGGGAAAATGATCAGATCAGAAGAGAGAGAGGTCTGGGGATAAGCCACAGTTTTCGAGATGGGAGAAAAGAAATCGGACTAGCGAGAAGGATCCACCCTGGAAGTTCGAAAAGTATACCTCAACTACAGTTCCACTCGAGCAAGTACTGATGGAGACCAAAGACTAAAGATTACTCAAATGGCCAGAGAGGATGAAAGCACCTCCAAGTAAAAGAAGCAAAAGGACGATATTGCCTTTTCCACCGAGACCACGACCATGCTACTCAGTATTGCTTTGATCTTAAAGAAGGAGTGGAAGGGCTCACCCAGAGAGGATATCTGAAAGAATATATGGAGGAAGTGAATGAGAGTGATTTTAGAAATCAATTTAAAATAATCTTAAACTTTCTTAAAATCAATTTTTAACTTACCTTATCGATATAAAAGGAAAGTGATTTTAGCCACGCCAAAGTCAGTCCCAGACAATCAAAATTAACCAAAACTAGAAAAAAAAATACATGGATCAAACTATACTTAAACCTACCTATCAATTGTATTTTCTATGGCAATTTATTTTTCTTCAAATATTTCAATTTTATTTTTATTAAAGTGTTTAGGTTAGAATCACTCCCATAAAAGGTTGGAGAACTTTTTAGACATTGATTCATAAATTTTCAATTGTCATTCAAATTCCCACGGGTTTCCTTTTCACTCCTGAGTTTTTTTCCCTTATATATATATATATATATATATATATATATATATATATATATATCATTCTAAAATTTATAACTAAATAAACCTCTTTGATTATATTGAAATGGAGAGTAAGGAGCGTGTTTGGTTGAAACTCGGATTATGTTTTTTCTTTTCAGATTCACTAAATCAATGCGTTTGGCAGGATTTTGGAGATTCGTTTTTTAAAACTGTTTTTGGATTCTGTGATCCAAACAATATAAATTCTGAAAACGACTTTTTTATGTTTTTAGGGTTTTCAGATTCATAATTTGAAATTTTTAAGATGCAGAATTAATTGACAAAAACTTTGATAAATATTATTTCATATTATAAACTAATTTTATGTTTGTTAAAATTAAAACATGTAAAATATAATGTATTCTAAATTATATAACAGTGTAAAATAATAATTATACAGAATTCATAAAAAAATGTTAATAAATTAATTAATATAAGTTGGTTAAACTAAAATTTAGTTTGTAATTAGTTCTAGTTTACAAATATATTACTAAACACACATTGAATAATTTTTTAAATTGAGATTCAATTACCAAATCTGCTACCAAACACATATCTGAAAATACTGAAAACAACTTTGATTTTCGAATCAATTGTTTTTTCAAATTTCTATTTTCAGATCACCAACTAAAGACACCCTAACTCACCCATGTAAATTGATCAAAGGATAAAAGAAACGGAAAGATGTGATACCCTTGTCATCTAAGATTGTCACCTAACCAATCAGCGAAAGTCTTTTGTCGGAGAAAATGAAAATTAACCTAAAACACATTATACCTAATCTACAATCTTATTATTTTTTAGACAATACAATTTATATGGATAAGGTACTATAAAGTGAAATGAAGTTGTCCATGTCGATACAACTAAGATCTCTTAAAGTCTTGAGTACTCGAACACAAAAAATAGTCTACCAAATTATTCCTATCTTGTATTGTGCGATCGTAATCCATCTAGACCTACTATCAGAAAACAAACTAATTCCTAAATGGATGAAAGAAATTCAATCGAGTCGATACTATACAGTAAAACAAAACATCGATTATATTACCGCCAAAGTCAATAAATGATTACTAATTTTCCTTAAAAAAAAACTTATTTCTTGTTTTTTTACGCATAAAAATATATATCTAGGTACATTAAGCTACTACTTTTCATGTTTCAGAATAATAATCAATGCCACAAATACAATTATAATTTCAAATATTTAAACCACACGAAAAATACATATAATAGTAAGCATATCTACATTTTTTTATTAATAAAAAATAACACTATACAAAACTTTGAAATATCAGTAACTCAAAATTATAATTTTCACCATGTGATGAGACCAGTTAAATTATTTAAAATTCCCACCGAAACCTAAAACCTAAAAAAAAAACACGAAAATAAATTCTCCTGAAATGTCTAACCACGTGGATGAATAATTCATAATAATAAATAAATAGTAGACTTTAGGTTATTAAGAGTCATAATGATTAAATTGGAGGTGGGTGGGATGAGTAAAGAAATTTTTTGGAAATTAAAAAAAATTATTATTTATTTTTGTATAAGATTGAATTTGGACTCCTCCTAATTGTGTGTGCTAGCTTGTGATTACAAATGAATATATATGATGTGATATATATTATTAGAAAATCAACGTTTTTTTCTTTATTTTTTAATTTCAATCAAAGGAGAGGATATGATATTTAGTAATTTAGAGAATATTTTGTAATGTTTCGAGTTTCTTATTTATTTTCTGTTTTAGTATGTTTTTTAAAATAGAAATGAATCTCAATCAATTGTTTTTTTATTGAAAAATATCGATACATTCGGTAATTATTATATTTTTTCCCATAATTTAAATTATTCAATTTTTTATGGTTTTCAGAAGCATAATAAAACGATATTTTTATTCGCATTAGTGAAAAACTATAAACATGAAAATGAGGAAGTATTTTTGTTTCTAAAATTTAGTACACTTTTTGGAATACTTCTTTAAAAATTAGAAACCAGAAAACAACAAATGGTTAAATCTTCAATTTTGAAGACAAAAAACAATAAATAATGTTATCAACACCATGTTTAAGAGGCCATTTAAAATGAATAAAAGTTAGAAGTATAGAAATTGTAAAATAATATTTAAATTAAAATTAAAAATAAAAAAACCTATTAAATCCAACGTGAAAGTCAAACTAACAATTTAAAACATTTAGGATACGTTTTGTTGGTGATAAAAAAAATATAAATTTGTAAAAAGAATTCAATTTCAATATTTTTAAATATGTGATGACATTTAAAAATAGAATTTCAATTTTAAATTGTTCTAACTTGTTTTTAGTAATACCATCTAAATACTTAGTTTAATTTAAAATAATATTAATTAATTGTTATAAATTTTGTAAAATTATTATTTTACAATGTTGTATGATGTATAATATATTTTACACTGTTTTAATTTTAGTTTATAACCTGAAATAACATATTTATCAAAAATTTTATTTAAATTTAAATTTTTTATTTTTTTTAGAATGATCCTACAATTTTTAATTTTAAATTCAAAATTGAAAACACCACGAAAACACAAATGTTGTTTTTTAAAATTTTCACTATTTGTATCATAAAATTCGAAAATGGTTTTCAAAAACAAATATTTAAACATTATAATAAACATGTTCACTCGATTTATTCGATTCAACGAATCTGAAAATAATAACAATTTGAATTGTCATCTAAACAGGTATGTTTAATAAATACAAATTTCAAGTCAAATCGATAATTGATATATACCTAAACAAATTTCAAGTCAAATCGATAATTCATATATACCTTCAATTAAATTTAAATTCAAATTCCCTCTCCAACGTATCCTACTAAAAAATACAAATTTCAAGCCTGACAAATCAAAAGTTATAATTCAACCAAATCATTATGAGTATAAACATATATATATATATATTTTAAATGGAGTGTGGAAGTTTTGACTCCGGCGGCGACGGCGAGATTTGAAGCCTTAAAAAAATAAAAAAAGAAATTGTAAATTACTCTTTTGGCCATAGGTTGAATATTCATACTTTCATAGCGTTGCTTAAACGACTCATTCTCTTGTCGCATGTCTGACTTTCATCATTTTTTCTCTACCTTTTTTTCCCTCTTTTAACTAATCTGTGTTGCAAATTGACCTAATTTTTAATTATATCATTTTTTTATTATTACTTCTTTTCTTTTTACAATTGGTGTTGTCAATTCAATCCATTTTAGCTTTGATTGTTTCCCCCCTCTCTCAGTCATTTTTTTCTTTGTTATTTCTTTTAAATTATATGAAAGTTGGATAAGCTTTGGTAGAATGTTTTAATGAATTTTTGTTTTCTTAATAATTTATAATAGAGATGAGATCCAAAATGAACCACAAAAAAGAAACGCAAGGGAAACTTTTTTTTTTTTTCTATATGAGTATTTATTTGATGCTAGAGTATGATTATATTTGATGGACATTTTCAATTTTTCTATACATTTTTATCTCGATTGGTTGGGTGCAGTATTTTTTTTAGCTATGCAACATTTGCCATTATTTTGAGTAAGTTGGTTTTTAGTATAACGTGGGGGAGTAGGAGATTGAACTCACAACCTCTTTTAATTGGAAATACATGACAATTACCACTTAGCTATGCTCGTCTGACAGAATAAGTTGTTATATATGCAATTACTTTTCTCCTTTCTTTTTTACTTATATTATAAGATTTCAAATTACTCATTATATGATAATCAATAACAAACAACAAATTTCTTTTAAATTTTGTTAGAACTTTAAATTACTCAAAATCTTGAAGAAAAAACAAACCGGTAAAATTATAGGTCATAACGACAATATTTTTAGTTTTGGATTTATGTTTTTTTCATGCTTATTTACAAGTGGAGGTGGAGCTCAAACTCATGACCTCTTGATCATAGATATATGCCAATTGTAATTTAATTGTTTGCGAAGATTAAAAAAAACGCATGAACTTTGATATAATCATATACCATCAACCTTCTAACATTAGCAATTACTCGAGAGCTCTCTCTACAATTACAAAATCGCTTGTCCATTGTAGCTCTACTAATAGTACAACAATTTCATAAGTTTACAAGATATAATTACAATAATCTCATCATGATTTAGAAGTGATTCATGATTTGTCAAGTTAAGTATAGTTCAAGTAGATATATATCATCGATAAAAAAAGTCGAAGGTTTTGTTGTTAACTTAAAAACAAAAAATAGTGATTCACGATTAAATTGTAACAACTTTTACCATTCACACGAGTAGTTTATGCCACTTCAACTAATGAAGTTTGATGACATGATCAATTGTAACAATCTTATAGTTTGACGGGAGTAATCGATCCAATTAAAAGCTTTAGCATGTGATTATATACATTTTTTCCCTCGAAAAATTCATGGTCTTTTATTTAAAATAATTTTTTGTCTTTGGAACTGGAAAAAGAATATATTTCTTTTGCTTGCATTTACCTTAAGTTAGGTCCCACGTCGGGGTCAAATTTTCACCTAATCCACCACCACGTACGCTCCCTTGTATCTTGTACATTGTCTTCATTCATTCTTTTGTTAGTTTGTTTTCTTGTTCCTTATTCAATTAAAATTCTATTACTTCAACTTTAGTTTGTTAATAATTTAATTTTTATAATGAAAAATGTCGTTAAGATTTAATAAGATTTCTTATATACATAGATCCATCAATTGATGGGACCAAATGTGTTTTTAAATAATAAAAACTAAATCATTATATAATAAAAATCGACAACTAAATTTGATGAATTTTTTAAGTATTTATTACAAAATTTTAAACTATAAAGACTAAATTGCTATTAATTTCAAAAGGTTACATGATTTCATCCTTAATTTAATAACACAATTTTATGTAACATCATTTAAAAAATACGATATTTTCTTAAATTTGTTCAAATTAGTTCACTCGAGAAAACATATTATTGTATTTATCTTATGAAGTTGTCCATAAACGTATGGATGTCAGATATTATTTAAAAAAAGAAAAATGAAGCCACACAAATTTATAAACTTTATTTCAATCGGAAAATAATTCCTTGTTAAAAAAGTTATAAGTTTCATTATTAGTAATAACATTTATCTCTGTATTTGAGATTTTTTAAATATTTAAAAAAATATTTTATATATATATAAATATTGATTAATAACTAATTGATACGCTAAGGAAAAAAAAACCAATATTGATACTATCGATGTTAAAAATATTTTAATTTATAAAATATGGATGTGTGTGTGTATATATATATATATATATTAAAAATGGAAAAATCCACATTTATTGTTATATAAGACTACATTTCTTGAAATGAAAGAAAGAGACTAAATATAAGATAACACTTAATTATGCTGCCAAAACAGTGCGATCTTGGTTTGTTGAACTAAACAACTCAATTTAATTAAAGTAATATCACAAAACAAACAAAACTCATAACTTTATAAATAGTACGCATCATTTTTATAACTACACATTGTAAAATACATGAAAGCTGAAAAAAAAGAGAGAAAAAGACGAAATAAAGAAGTCCACAATTTCAAAACACATCCCTTTTGTCATTCACAAGCAAGCAAAAAGTTGAACATAAAAAACTAAAGTCTTGAATGCTATTATTTTCTGTACCGTAATTTCAATTTTAGTTTATTTTGGTGGGTATATTTTCAAAATTTTTATTTTTATATATACTTTTTCAATTTATATTCATTTTAGGTACTGTTCTTATTCACGTTTATCACATTTTACTCGTTAATTTTTTCGAAATGTAGCCATAAATTTATATCAAAGAGATTCTATTTTGTACAAAATTTATATTAAAATTTTGCAAATAGAGATCGATCAAATTGATGATAACTTCTTAAGATGACTTCCATCGTCTTTCTATGTTCTGGAATGACAACGATTTTAATGGTTACACAAGATCCCCCACCATTCCATACTTTTTAAGACGTAGTCTTCTTACTGTGACCCTGCTTGGCTCTCCCTCATTCGACCGRCCTACCTTTCAGATCCTCCAGCTACTGGCTCGCTTTCGCAGCAGTCTAAAACCTACGTTCATACTTCAATGTTATCCGGTCTTATGTTATCGATATTCCTGAAATGACTTTTCCTGCTTTCTCGAGTCTGGATTCTTAAGAGTATGTAGTTAGAAATTAAAATGAACCAAGGTTGAACGTATCGATAAAAATAAACCAAATAAAAAATACAGTATTTAAATCAAAACTAAATTAAAAATTAAATTAGCTTATGATAAGAACAATTCACAAGACAATATTTAAAAAGCAAAATATATATTATTTTTGATCTGGAATTTTAAATTTACAATTAAAAAAGAAATCAATAAAAATGAAAGAAAGTGGCGATCTCATGACGTGAAATGATTTAAAATTCGGGACATTGGTATCGTAGATTTTAAGGTACTTATTTTGGGGTATTAATTTTGCTAAACTAAAAGATACTAATTAATAAATTAAATACTTAATTACTAATTACCAACAAAGATAAGAAACAGATAAATGTTTTTTTTAAGCATTTATTTCTGGGGTTTCCATAAAAGTCCCCGTAGAGGCCCCCACGTCCGGAGCGTAAATCTTGGGCGGCCACGTGGCGAAATCTCAGACGTGGATTCCACGTTGACGCAGCCGATCGAGTTTCAGTCTAGAGAGAGAAAGTGTTTGACGAAAAAATGAAATTACGAAATGAAAAAAGAAATATTAGGAGAGAGAGAGAGAGGATATAGAGCGAGAAACAAGGCGCGGAGTGGCCGTCCGA